ACGTCTCCGAGCGCCACCGATTGATTACAGCGAACGGGGTCGGCGCTAAGCATGCCCTCCACACGCGTGCGAAAGCATAAAAACAGCTATTATTTGCGCAGAACAAATCGTGAAATATCAAAGTCGGTGAGGCAACGCGAACCCGCCGGCGCAAGAAAACGATTTTTTGACCACGACTGCCAATTCTTTGAACACCGCCGCGCGCGCCGATCCAGGTGGCCGTGCTTTGACTTTTGCGCGCGGAGGCACTCTTTCAAGTTTTTCTACGCGCGCGTTTCGCAGACCTTTCAAGCAAGCTTCTCGACATACCTCATTCCCGCGTGTTTTGGTTTTCAAGGTCACCCTCCCATCGTGTTCTTCCCTCTCTTCACTCTATCGCAACTCCTTGCCCTTCTCTCCAAAATCTGCTCTCCTCTTTTGATCACAACCCCTCATCTCCACCACTCCGCGACGCCAGCCGCGCTGGCTCGAGTTAGTTTCGTTTTCTGACTAGAAATGGGCCCAGAGCTGTTCCGTGCGTTCTAGCATGTGTGTCGCGTGTGCGCATCTTGCTCGATCTTGGTGTGCGTGTGTGATCAGGATGGCAGAAGGGAGGACTTGCAGGCTTTTTCCTGCTGCTCAACAAAACGTCAAAAGTGGGACCACTTGGCTTGAGCGTAATTCGCGCGTCAGGTGACACATTGAGGAGCGCTTGCTTATAGTTGTTGACCACCTGGCAGCCAACTTGCCGCTTCGGATGTCCCGGTATTCGGTTGTGGAGATGGTGAATATTTCGTGGGCGGTGGTGACGACTACATGCGCATGAAACTGTTTTCGCGAGGCCGACTTCGTCGACGTCGGGCCCGATTTGTGGCAGCGCGCCGTCGACTCCGACATGAGAGAACGGGTGGAACATCTGTTACGATAGTTTTATTACGGCCGATGATGATGCCGACACCGTGGAACCGTGCACCGATTAGGGCATTGTGAATGAAGTACGTACATGACAAGAGCAATTCGGAGAAATCGAATTGCGAGAACGACGGAACTATGCAGTCCCCTATGCAGCTTATGCCACGGACCTCGGCGAACAAGCACGCTGCTGTTTGAAATAAACTACAGACCGCCCTTATCGCTTCTGGTCTTCGAAACACGTGCATCATGGAGTTTTTTTGGGCAAAAAAGTTTGTGTTTTCACTCGCAACTTTTTTAAAAGCTGTGTTTCATTTACTACGAACTTCAATATACAGCGAACCGATGCAGCGTCAGGCTCAGGTTCATTATAAGCGGGCTCGACTGCAGATGATAAAACTCGACTAAATTGGGCGTTGCACATGCAAATTGCAGTTTGGGCGCAGCGTGGAGCAGCAGGTCAGCTTGGTGCAGAATGGCACGATTGGCGCAGCACTTCCGCCCCTGAATTTGAATGGACAATAATTATTTGTTCGTCTTAGTCTTATCAGGAGCTCGGCTTATCAGAAGTGCCCTCAAAAATGAAATGCTAACATGGCAAGTGCATCCAAATATGTTGCCTGAAAATAATGCATGGAGTATACTTACAATGATGAGGAAAAAAACAAGAAAAAGCATTTATTTAGCTCAGCTTGATAAAAATTATGCTTTCAAGCAGAGTATTTACATGAATATAACGAGCATTCGATTGTGGAAGATCATAATAAATATGTTCATCAATAAATGACTACCATATTTTAACAAGAAAACTGTTACACGACCCTATTTTGGCGATTGAAAAAGAAAAAAGGGAGAGACAAGTACAATTTTCCTTCAAACAATGAGAAATTTATTCTCCTCGCTATTCACTTTATGCGAGCCTGTTTTACTGGCTTTGATACGACTTTTAAACCTCAATTGCATGCTGTTACCTTGACAAAGCCAATATATACCAAGTTGCTCAAGAAAGTCTGCAAGCTTTTCTTTGAGGTTCTGATATTTTTTTTTTATTTTCAGCCCACAGTAACTTTTTCTGATTGACGTGCAGCTGAAGATCTCCATTTGTGCTACTTGTGGTAAAAGTCTTGGGCACACAAGAAAGACCCGACACAGCTATATTTAGAGTGCAAAATAAATGTCCTATGTCGTGCACTTTCATAAAGAAAATAGCACATCACAATTTGCACTTCACTGTTAACAGATACGATGTGCACAGTCCCTATGCGAAACAACGCGAACTGACCACTTCTGCTCAGGCACTATTATATGACAGCAACACAATGCATCTGGGCCCTCTGATAGGAGTGCTAGCGCTGCAAACATTGTTTTGGTCAATGTTACTAGATCCTGCCAGTTCTCCAACTGCAGAGCTCTGCTTGACCCTGTTCCGTTGCTTGACTCCGCGTGGGGGCCCGACGGAGTTTGCCCGGCCAGTTGCAAAAAGCCGCGACAGACACGGACGGCCGCACGACCGTTGCGAACAGCCCGCTGCAGTGTACTTGGTAACGTTTGCGCGAGTACCCGCAGTCGTTTGTGGACGTGCTGGCAAGTGTATGAACTATACCACGCTGTTTCGTGCCCGGGTGTGTAAAAGTGGGTACAATTCCGTTCTGCCTTCGGGGAACCAAATGTTGTGCTCGTTTCTGTGGAAGGCACATTAAAGACCGTTAGAGAAGCTCAAAGGTTAAAAAGAGCTAGTTTGTGCACGGAGATTGAAGCTGGGCTACTGGAAATGAGATCATTGCCATATGTATTACTCCTTACCAAATGAGTAATGAGCACAGCTACTTCAAAGGTTCACCAGACGACATAGTTGTGTACTAAATCTAGATATGTTGTACACAAAATAACCAAGCATGAAGAATGCCACTTTTGTCTACAGGGCGTCAGTTCAGAAGCTCCGGTCATTGGCTCTGATGCATACTTAGCTACATACCGGAGCTTCAAGAAAGGAAGCATTAGGCACCCCAGCATAAAGATGCTACACTTCATGCAAGTTCCATACGAATCTATTTCATTTTCTCTTGATAAGAAAGGTCTCTGTGCGGACCTGTTTTGGAAGGTCTTGGACGAGTCGGATGAGTGCGATGTGAGGAGGCTGGATTGCGACCAGCACAATCCCACGTTCACGTGCCAGGACCTCTATTTTTTCATCGTGACACAATTGGATTTTTACGCCAGGGATGTCAACCGACACCTTTAAATCTGCAAGAAAGTTGCCATCGCTACCAAGAAAGCTCGCCTATTGTGAAACCGTTGAACATTTGCATTGTGTGCGTGTGTCTTCGGCCTTGGCAATAAACGCATTTTGCGGCACCGAGAATAAAAGGTGCTCTTTTTTGCTCAGCCTTTGTTTTTCAGTAACGAATGTCCCCAAACATTGGTCGCACGTTTGGGGGCAGCTTTGCCGCTATAGTTTTGCTTCTCAATCTGCTCTCTCTCTCTCTCTCTCACACACACGCATGCACGCACGCACACACACACACAGTTTATTGCTACAGTGTATTTTTTGTGTGAATTCTTGTCATGTTGCTTTAGCACAGTGTGACGTTAGGAGAGTTGGTGCATAGCTTAATAAAATATTTGTGGCACATCTGATACTAGCAAGGAAAAAAAAGGGAGGAGACAAGATAGGGCACCAGACTTTCAACGCGTTTATTTTCCACACATCATTGAAATATATATGCTTCTAGAATGCGCACAAAGAGGGGGTGCAGCACAAGTGACTATCACATTGCACGCACGAAAACCCAAACAGAATAAAGCAATCGCACAGCACTTTCTAGAAACAGGTATTTCTTTTTGTACAAAGTGATCGACGGGACTTTGACAGATTTGTTTCCCTTCATTTGTATGTGATATGCCTCAAGTACTTCACGTGCGAACGTTTCCCTGCTTCGTCCTAACACACGCGTCTATCACTTTTTATGTTATCTCTCACGCGTACTTTGCCCCGCGAATGCGGAGGGGGAGAGGGGGTTAGATGCTTTTGCGCGCCCGCGCTTATCCTTCGGTGGAGAGAATCGCGCGCCTTTGACTTTGACCGGAACGATTGCGTTTGCTCTTTTCACACAGTCCCTTCACGTTAAAACCACACTGATACTCGCAGAGATAGCAACTGCACCAGCGATCGCGACGGCCCTCAAAATTCAAGTTTATTATTGCTACTTGAGCGATTCCCCCCTCCCCACATTGTTTTATGCTCGTTTTAAGACAAGTGGTTTACTTTCTGTTTGAGCATTCCATGGTAGTTCTAACATGTGGGAGATGTTATGCACTTTCCAGGAGATAGGGATGGGCAGACTCATGTGAGCTCTGCTTCAACAGCGCTCACATGCTTTTACCCGCTTGTGAAAGTTACAATGCGCGGCGGCATGTTGTCAATTTGGACTAGTTGGGGAACATGGCGACAACAGAAAGAAGCCGCCGAGAGGGTCCATATAATTGCTATCGCAATAATAACGCACTTTTTTACTGTAAACTGAGTGTTTGGGGTTAGCTCTGCTTGCAGTCCCCCTTTTGTTTAATTTGTGCATTTATTTTCCGAATTTTCGTACCGAACCTCCATTTAGAGAAAACCTCTTTATAAAAAATTTTACTGATTTTACTGGGAATTTATCAATTTCGTTATATTCAGGTTTAACTGAGGTGAGGATATCGTGACTCCCGCGACTTACGTTAGAAGCGGTCTATACTGTAAATTCATTATATAAAGCTTATTTAAAAAATCAGTAACACTTATAATTTTGGTCATGTGAGTTAGAAGCATCATTTAATGATACAAAATTACCAACTGATGAAGCTGTACCTGTAACTTTTACAATATGCAGAAGTGTTTCTGGCAATCCGTTTTGACATCTCAGCATGTATTAAAATGTTTAATACTGTTAATTGCTTGTGAAATGCATCACAAGATGTACGTTCCTCCTCCATCACAAAATAATTTTGCGCAACCCATGAGGCTCATGTCCACCATTCAGTCCATGTTCAATGCATGTATTTTCTAAGACGCATGTCCCAGCAGCTGCAGAGCCATGTCAATAATGTGGTATAGGAGCTGGTGTGCTTACCATGGAAAGCAGGTGGCACATCTTCAGGAGACATGAGCGCAACCAGTGGCTGACCAAAAAAGCGCGGCATGTGCTGGAACACATGGCTGTTGTCGCTATCCATGATGAGGAAGAGTGGCTTCCGCGTGTACGGATACAGGTCACCAGGGTACAGACTGGGTCCATGCGTTCCCATTAGTAGGAGCCGACAGCCGGAGTAAGGCCAGACAGGAAAAAGGTCAGATTAGAAAAAAGAAAGAAAAAAGGAAACTCAGCCCCACATCACAAGAAGAGACATGCAAACAAGATACGAAAGATCAGAGGTGCACCACAGATGGTGCCAGGAAAATATAAAGAACTACAAAAAAAAAGAAAGAAAGGGAGACATATGGCGTCAATAAATGAAAAAATGCAGCTCCCTATAGGTCTCACCAGTGCATATCTTTGAGCTGGATGTTGCGCTTGTTGGAGTGATCCGGTTCTCGTTTGCTGTTGGTGGTCACTCCACCATAGTCATAACCAACTGCATTGAATGAAACATGGGACTTGTAAATGTCATTACTCAGCAGTTAAAAATTTATGCAGCAAAGATGCAATATTGATTTTTTTGGCAAAATTCTTTTCTACCAATGACATCAGAAACTGTGACACACTTATCATCAATGACCTCATGCTAACTGATTAATCTTATTTTTCTTTAGAGCACAAGTTACAATACAAACAAAAGTGATGATAGGCAGTGCTCAAGGCATGTCCACTTAAATGACATAAGACCACTTAGGATTATCACAAGCCGTGATATCTGTGCAAAAAGTTGCATCGAAATGCCTTGGCATTCTCTATCACGTATTATTTTCCCACACAACCTTGCTCACACACTCCAGAAAGGTATGCAATTATTTATGTAATGAATTATTTACAGTACCCTCAAGATAGAACCAGCACCTCCTCTGGCCCTATCCTGCTCTTGCCCATTCTAGCCTTTGAGTGGGCCTTGAGGTCATGGGGGAGAGAACCCATCATGTAGCGCCTCACGACGGGAATAATATGAAGTAATTTTTGTTCAGTTGTGTACAGATCCATGGGGCAGCTGCTTGCATTCCTCATGTTTACAGAGTTGGCAGTCACGCTGGCTCTGTAAAATATACAGTGTTTTGAGCCAGCGCGTTGCCGTTCGTGGCGTTATAGGGCAACCAATGGGAAAGTGTCACTGCGACAATACTGCACGCGCTGACTTTATGAGCGCTATGAAGCAGCGGGGGCATTACTTCAAGCCACAAAGAAGGAGCACGAACGAGAAAATCTGACACACGTATGATATTGAAGAGGGAAACGTGTCTATTGCATCTCCGTGGGAAAGTGCTCAAATGCACGTGTGACGCAAGCAGCCCTACCCAACATGTAGCATTGCAACAAAACCACTCCCTGAACTAAGGCAGACAGACGGCTCCCGTTTTGCACTGGCATTGAAAGAAATCAAGGATATGTTGGTAGAACACACGAAAGAGGGGCAGGGCTACATATAGAAAACTTAACAGAAATATTGGAGTATTTTGAATGGTAATAAATGCATTACTACTTGCAAATACCGAATTTAGAGTAACAATAACAAAGGTCATATAATGCAATACTGACACGAAGGTTGTAAGATTATTGTGCAGTTAACTAAAGTAGTTTGTTTGACCAGGCTGTTCGCACACCTGGACCCCTTTGAAAAAATGTTTTGCTGGAGTCGTTGACACTTAACACGAAAGAGGGGCAGGGCTACATATAGAAAGCTTAACAGAAATATTCGAGTATTTGAAATATTAATAAATTCATTACTTCTTGCAAATACCGAATTTACATAACAATAACAAAGGTCATATAATGCAATACTGACACGAAGGTCGTAAAATTAATGTGCAGTTAACTAAAGTAGTTTGTTTGACCAGGCTGTTCGCACACTTGGACCCCTTCGAAAAAATGTTTTGCTAGAGTCATTGACACTTAAACTGTTATGTATTGTGTACAGCAATGTAGAACTGTTATATGTTGAGCATAACATATAACATATCCTGCTATCCAGAACATGTGTTTGTAAACATTCAGAGCATGCATCATCAGTTAGGACTAGAGCTGTGCAAAAAGCAAAATTTTGGGTCGAAGCAATGAATATTGAAGTATGGGTGCAAATTGAATCGCAGATTATTAGAATATTTCTAAAATATTTTTCTAATACAGTCAAGCCTACATATAACGGCCCCACTTAAAACAAACGATAGCTTAAAACGAACGTACCTGTATGACCTAAAATATACATTATTTCAATGGCCCAAAATCACACTTAACAAACGACTCTGAGCGCCACCATCTTCTCGGGATGCCACTTTCGACCACCGAAAAGCCATCAATGAGGTGCCCATAAACTCAATGTTAAACACCAACCCTGCCTCCGCAGCCCTCTAGCTGTCGCTCTGCCCGATTGCTTAAGGGGCGAAGCTCCTTAAGGTGTAGGCTAGTCCCCCGTCGTCTGTCATAGCAACCCCTAGTACTCTGAGTGCTCACTCAATGACATTCCGGCGCTCGCTCCATTCAAACGCGTAGGATACACATGCTTTAGTGTGATAGGAGACCACTAGATGGTGCATCTGTGCTCGAGTCTAATTGGATGAAGGCGCATCGCTTCCATTTAATCGGATACCGCTTGAGGCATACCTGAGCTCGCTCTCATTGAATGGATGCACTTGCTCCGATGCATGCTAGTGTGCTAGTTATAATGAAGGGGCAATTGAAGCCTCGTCTCACTACCATTTACAAATAAAATTTTGTTACGTATACATACAACATTTGTCACGTCTTTAATGATCGACTGGGCAAATTTCACGGAGGATTCATGATTTGCCTATTTATTTCCGGAGTTTCACTCTCTTATAATCATTCACCCCGTGAACATGTTGTGATTTTTTTTGTTACGCACCCCTCCGTCCTTTGTTCCCCCACTACTCTGAGCACCCCGCATGGCCAGACGAGGCCTGTGTTTTCACACTGCCACCGATCTTTCGGAGGTCGGTCCACTGACTAGTCTCCTCTCAGTTTTTGATCACTGGTCTGGTTAAACTATCGTTGGCATCGCCGGCCTAGAGTGACCAGACCATCTGCCAACACTGTCGGTCGCCGACTGTACCCGATTGCTTACGTCTGTGTCTTGTCTGGATCAATGCCGTATCGTTTCAGTGCATGCACCTGTGCTACCCCACAGACTGATAACCTGCGATTGGTTTCATGTTTAGAACCTGTTGTTGCTCACTTCACACTACGCTCAGCATGCCCTCTGCATGCGTTCGGAAACGTAAGAACGGCTGTTACACAAAACGAATCACGAATAATGAAGTCAGTGGGGCTGCACAAACTCGCCTGTGCCACAATGCGACTCTGTGACCCTTGTGTGTGCAAGCCACTCTCCCAAGTTATCCTCCTTGGGAGTTGCGCGTTTTGTTGACCTTTTCAAGCTAGCTACCCGACCTGCTTTCTTCCCATGTGTTTTGGTTTTCAAGGTCACCTCCCTGCCATACGCTCCCCTCTCTTCACTCTATCGTGCCTGTCTGTCACACGTCTGCTCTCTCCTATTTATCGCAACTCCTTCACCCCTCTCCAATGCTGTGCGACGCCAGCCATACTGGCTTGAATTAAAAAGTTTCTTTTTCTCACTGAAAATAGGCCCAGAGCAGTTCCACCCGTCAGCGCTGTAGCGCGTGTGCATCTTGCTAGCTTTTGGTGTGCATGTGTGGTCTATTGCCACACATGCACACCAAGGGACCATTGGCAATCTGACGACTTTGTCTTCTGGAAATTCGAATGGTTTCCAACAGTAAAATTCCAGCGCAAATTGAATCGAATAAGCAAACACCCCTAGTTAAAGAAGCTGTCTTGACGGTGTACAGAATTTCGCTGATCAATTTATATTAGCTAATTACAATCACGTGGCTAGTTTAACACAAAAAAGGCTACAATGAGTTTCACACATTTGTTTATTTACCTAGACTTTTCAAGCAAATTCTTATCAAGGCACATGTTTATAATGTTGCCTAATACAGTCCAATGTTGCCTTTGGTTAATTCTGGCTTTCCTTCAGGCTTCACAGATTTGGTTGTCCACAGCACTTTCAGATTTCGAATGCCATCAGCTTTAGACAAAATGGTGGCGCAACAAGTTTTTTTGTGCACTGTTGCTACCCGAAGCAGACAATGCAAGACGTGCTCAGATAATGATGTGGCCAGCTCGCGGTCACATGCATTAAACAGCCAATAGAATTGCATACTTTGCTCCTTTTTCGGTAGCTTTTTTTTTTTTTTGCTACTGATGAGCAGGAATTTGAAGACGAAAAAATGCTCTTTCAAACAAGATCAATGTCACAGCTATGGCGTTCGTCACACGGCTGCCCCGCGTCGCAAAAAAAGTGGTGTTTTTCGTCGAAATCTCTGCAAACAGAGCTCAAGAGTCTTCTTTGATGTGATATAACAAGTAAATTATCGCTTTTTGGAGCTTAAAAATTGGCAGAAAGACGGAAAAATGTTCACAAAATATTAATTAAAAAATTTTTTTCTCTGCGATTTTTCGGTCCTACACACTCGGCTGCCTCCTTAATGGCTCCAGGGCTGATTTTTTTAAAATGTAGATTGCTCATCTCTATTTTTACTTGTGATTTTTCTTTTGCCCTAATAGATTTGGGAGAAAGTCATTACTATTGTAGTTTAACAGCTTATTTGCTGCTAATGTTTTTCTAGCAGTATATCTTCATTTATAAGCATAGCAGCTTTTGAAAGACATCCAAATGAGAAAACATAAATGAGCAATTAAGGACGTTATTTTATGCCATTTTGGTATTATTCTTTAACTGAACAGATTTCACATTTATATTTATTGAGTGGTTGATTTTGTTTGAAACGTTTTTTTTTTTTTTTGAGTCCCAAAAACTTCGGCCTAAAGCTTTACATTCAAACTGGAATTACTGTTCAAACAATAAAAGCAGGCGAGAGGAATAGCCCCATCATTTCGCCCTACACCCTTCTCATCAAGGAGTTATGTGGCATCCAATCAGATCACAGCTTACATACCATGGTATCAGAAGCTTTTTATATGTTACAGATTTCTTGCCATAAACCACCACTTATCTTTTTGATGGCGTTGCTACTACGGGTCCCACTAACCATGCGAAATGCACATTAGCAAATGACTCCGTGTTGACAAATGAAAGGTCAGAAACAATAAGCCCTTCAGACTGCAAAGACTTTGAATGAAAGCTTATGCAAAATGAGATGCTCTGCATCACCTCATACACACAGCTAGAAATTCCAGGACAAGGATAATTACCCTAAATAGACCGTTGGCCGATGAATGCTCCTTGCATCAATTACAAAAAAAATCAATCAGTAATGCACAAATCTGAGCCACATTGCACAAATATGCATTTCCAACCAATCAAATTGAATACATAGTCTAAAACAGGTGCCTTTGCATACCAGCTGCGAAAAAATGGAGAGT